TGTTTAGACTTTGTTAGAACAGGTGCAGCAGGTGAATCACATTAACCCTCTGCTGGTCATGTGACTCACAGAGTGACCGCAGGAAGGCGCAAGCGGCCATGGAGGCGGCCTGGAAGTCCATGGAGAAGAAAGAGAAGATCCCGTGGATCAAGAAGGCGGCAGAGGACCAGAAGCGTTACGAGGTTCAGTACCAACCTGTGGTCAGTGAGCCACGCCCCCTCCCATACTGACCCGCCCCCACATGCTAAGGCTGCGGACGCCATGTTTCCTTATTCATATTGATGCCTATATTTTCTTTTTTTTAACAATATGTTTATTGAGTTTTAAACATTTTTCCAAGACACACAATTACAATTAAATAAATTCTAAGAAAAAAGATCTACACATGCACATACACATTTATAAAATAAGGGGGAAAAAGTAAAATATAATAATACAAAATAAAAATTAAAAACTTCAATTACAAAATGTTGCAACATTCTTACTGTCCGTATCAAATAAAAATAACCAAATGGAGTAACATTGCCATAGATGATTTATTAATCACAAATATTCTGCCTGAGAACAGTTTCTGCGAAAAACGACCACGATTACAGAAATCGCCATCTCTTTACCAGCCGAGCTCAAAATATGTGACAGATCTTTATCCCGAAGAAAATGAATATACAGGCCCCAGATATGGTCAAATAATTCTGGTTTGTCTTTAATATTGATGCATGTTTGAACCTGATGTGTTGTAATGACTCTTGGTGTCCTGCAGAGGGAGCTGTTGGAGATGAGGGCTCCTGCAGCTGGTCAGGCTCAGAGGAAACCCAAGTTTGATGGAGAACCAAAGAAACCGCCAGTGTGAGTGAGAACAACCAGCTGAGCCCTGATTGTTAATGTGTGTGTGACATCATGACAGGGAGGAGCCATCTTAAACTATCTTATAAGTTCATAGCAGCCTCATTGTGTTGGTACGACGTGCTGTGGATCGTAGGCTGCGAGGCGAGAAGAGGTTAACTTGTGATGTCTAAGGGGGCTCGAGATAAGACACTTTATTTTCAGTGGTTGTGCTAATTAGTGCGTCATTTCACGCTGCATTTCTATTGGTTTGTGATGTAGATTATAGAAGCGTTCACATTTCGGACACTGTCAGATATTTGTCGCAGGCTATCTTGGGTCACAAGACTGTGGGATCGGCCATCTTTGATCCTCTCAATGTTTAGGAGCCACGACCACCGATATGACCACGATTGATCATCTTTCATCTGAGACCAAAATCATACAGTCAATAGAACAGTTTTGGACAATTTAGAAAGCGTTCAGCACTTTATGATGGATTCTTCTCCGACACACCTGTCTGGTGTATTTCAAAGCTTCAGTACTGTTTGATACTATGAATCAGTAAATAACAGAAGGTATGGTTGAAATCATGTGGCATTGAAAAGTATCGGTAGTATAGAAAAGGTGGAAAGAGAAGAGGACCCAGCGTGCTACCCTGAGGGACTCCTCCATCACATGTCACAGATGGAGATGTTAACCAGAGAAAATTTGAACTTTTTGTTTTATTTATAAATGACCAAATGAAGCTTGTGAAATAATAACCAGCCCCCCCCCCCGCTGTTCTCGTCAAATAGGAGCGGGTATCAGATGTTCTCCCAGGAGCTGCTGACCAATGGGGAGCTGAACCACTTCAGCCTGAAGGAGCGGATGGTGGAGATCGGGAAGAGGTGGCACAAACTGAGCCAGATTCAGAAGGACAAGTACAAGAAGCAGGTGGAGGAGCAGCAGGTGGAGTACCAGGCCGAGCTGGAGGCCTGGGTCAAGGTAACCTGCTCACTCCAGATATCCTCTCAACTTTCATCAATCGGTTTCATTTGTTTCTCTGTCCAAAAATCTTGACACTAAATTGCTAACAAAGACATCCGAGCCAATCAGAGCTCAGCAAGGAGTCATGATGTCACTGTTAGGGCCTGTGTCCACACGGCGCTAATGTCCGTTAGGTGTGTTCGATATTTACTTTAATTCAAAGAAATAGCAGCGAGAAAACATGAAGACGACGTGAAGGAGTCCTGACATCAGCAGCAGCTCTACACCCGGAATCTGTTTCCTCCTAAAGATGAGTCGGACTAGCCTCTCCTCCGCCATTGTTGTTGACAAAGATGAAGTTAAAAGTACCTCCCCGTCTTCATTCTGATTGGTCGATGACGGAGAACTGACATTGACTCACCTGAGAGCACGCAGAGGACGTTTTAGCGCTCTAACTTCTTTTGAAAAATATCGCCTGTGGACACGGGCCATAATAAGCAGAGTTTGTGACTCGTCATGTCGCCCTCTAGAGTCTGAAGAAATCAAACATGCTGTTTTGTGTTTTTGTCTTCAGTCGCTGTCTCCGCAGAATCGAGCCATCTACAAAGAGTTCTCCTCCACTGTGAGTCTGTTCTCTAACATTTAAACATCTTCTCACTTTGAGAACATAACCAGCAGCTACTCTTCCTGACTCCAGGGATCCTCAAAGCAAAGCTAACGTTGGGATTACAAACTACCTTCATGTAGCAGGCCTAAATGACTGCTTCTCAAACGCAAGCTAAAAGGTGTTAGGCTAACAAATTAGCAGGGAAAGCTAAACGTAATCTTTTAAAGAGCAACATGTAACAGCTAACAAAACACAAGCTAACATGACTCTATATACTATAACACTGGGGGGTAGCATTAAGCTAACCGTTTATAGAACTCTTTATTTCACCTTCTTTAAGCTAACTTAACGTTAGCATGTACCACTGACTTGCAGGTTCCTGATTAGCATGTTGGTCCTCCTTAAGCTAAACGTGTGTTTGTTTACTAACATCGCAGTGTGTCCATGTTTGTTTGTTTACTAATGTTTCAGTGTGTCCATGTTTGTTTGTTTACTAACGTCTCAGTGTGTCCATGTTTGTTTGTTTACTAATGTTTCAGTGTGTCCATGTTTGTTTGTTTACTAACGTCTCAGTGTGTCCATGTTTGTTTGTTTACTAACGTCTCAGTGTGTCCGTGTTTGTTGTTTACTAACGTCTCAGTGTGTCCGTGTTTTGTTGTTTACTAACGTCTCAGTGTGTCCGTGTTTGTTTGTTTACTAACATCGCAGTGTGTCCATGTTTGTTTGTTTACTAATGTTTCAGTGTGTCCATGTTTGTTTGTTTACTAACGTCTCAGTGTGTCCATGTTTGTTTGTTTACTAACGTCTCAGTGTGTCCGTGTTTGTTGTTTACTAACGTCTCAGTGTGTCCGTGTTTGTTGTTTACTAACATCGCAGTGTGTCCATGTTTGTTTGTTTACTAACGTCTCAGTGTGTCCGTGTTTGTTTGTTTACTAACGTCTCAGTGTGTCCGTGTTTGTTTGTTTACTAACGTCTCAGTGTGTCCGTGTTTGTTTGTTTACTAACGTCTGTGTGTTTGTTTGTTTATCAGAAACGTCGCAGCACCGCTAAAGTCCGCACTAGTCCCGGAGCTAAAGTCCGAGTGACGGCAAAAGGGAAGGCGGCGAGCTCGAGAGCTGTCACGCAGACGGTCGGGGTGGCCAAGAGGGCGATGGCGTACCGTGCAAAGGTAACACTCTTTGTAGTTCTCTGATGTAAAGTCGATGTCGGGGGTTTCACGATGGTCAAGTCGTGTGTTTGTCCTCCAGCAGGACATGTCGGACTCAGACGAGGAGAAGAGCGACTCGTCAGACTCTGATGAAGACGATGAGACGTCAGGATCCACAGACAGTGAAGACGATGATGAAGATGATGAGGTGAAGGTTCACTTCCTTTTAAACATCCTTTAAGAATAAAACATTTAAACTTCAATGTGTTTTTTGTGTCCTCAGAACGAGGACGACGAGGACGACGAAGATCAGTCTTCCTCTGAAGAATCCAGCGACTCGGACTCTGACTAGCCCCGCCCCTTCACCTCATTGGAGAGGAAAGGCTGTGCAGGCCACGCCTCCTCATGTGCCAATCACCGTGGCAGACCAATAAGTGATGTCAGATGGAGCTCACACTTACCCCTCCCACCTTCCATCTAAAAGGGTGAGCCTGCCGAGCGTTTTGTTACTCGTGTTTCTTTTTTATGAGTGTTTGTTGGTTTTTATCTGACTGACATTTCAGACGGGTGGAGACTTGTTTTATTTTTGTGGAGTGATGAAGGGGCGGGGTTGTACAGTTGAAAGCAGGGGAGGGCGGAGCCTATTGGTAGTGTTATTTACTGTTAAGGGAGAGCCAGTGTTCAGCCTCCAATCAGCCGCCTGCCGGAGAAAATTATAAACAAATAAAAGCACTTTTTTTCTCATTTCTGTGGTCTGATTTCCTGCAGTGCTCAAACACACCATGACATCACACAGTCCCCCAACACCCTGGAGAAAGTAAACAAACGTTTAGAATTATTTCAGCTTTTATTTGATTTAATAGATTTTTAGAATATAAACAAACTTTTTTTTTCTTTCCACCTGATACACAAATAAATAATCTGACCTTTGACCCCACATTAATAACCCTCCTCCCCATCAGCCCCTGCTCTTGACTCAAAATCCCCATGTCTCACTATCAGCTCGGTTTATAAAACAGTGACGCCAGAAGAAAAAAAAAAAAGTTCCACACATGCATCGTTGTTACCATGGTTACCAAACTTTATAAAAAGAGACTCCAACCCGCCCCAAAGAAGAATTAATGTTTGCTCATCCACACAGCGACCAATCAGCCTGCGTTGAGCAAAAACAATGTTCAAGGACTACAACTCACTCGTGATGCGTTCAACGAACATTTCCAGAGTGAGGACGTTTGAGTGCTTCAGAGTCTGATCACAGCTTGAATTCTCCTCCAGGATCAAACATGTGACTGAAACCCAGACTTCAGATGGTCGGGTCCTGATGGATTTTGTACTCTGTCAGTTAAAGTTCATCGTTATAGAAATTCAGATTTCAGCATCTGATTAAGAAGACAGCAGCCTGACACTCCACCTGATCACTCCACCTGACACTCCACCTGATCACTCCACCTGACACTCCACCTGATCACTCCACCTGACACTCCACCTGACACTCCACCTGATCACTCCACCTGATCACTCCACCTGACACTCCACCTGACACTCCACCTGATCACTCCACCTGATCACTCCACCTGATCACTCCACCTGACACTCCACCTGATCACTCCACCTGATCACTCCACCTGACACTCCACCTGATCACTCCACCTGACACTCCACCTGACACTCCACCTGATCACTCCACCTGACACTCCACCTGATCACTCCACCTGATAACTCCCCCTGTTTTAGACTTTGAGTCAGCTGTCAATCATCTCTCACTAACTTTTGCTTTAAATGAAGTCAAATCATTTAGTGATAATTGCAAGTGTAACCTGAACACACGTGTCTCTCTCTGCCCTCATGGACGACTGACAGGATGTTCAGCCCAATAAACAAGATTCAAACACACACACACACACACACACACACACACACACACACACACAGCGTCATAGAGGGACGTCCAGAAGCTTCTTGTGCAGGTACTGCTTCACGTCCTCGATGCCGTTCAGTTTCTCCAGCTCGTGGTATGGCAGCTGAGAGGGGACAATAAGCAAGAAGACACAGGTCACCTTAAGACACAGAGACACACTGAGACACACTGTGACACACACTGTGACACACACTGTGACACACACTGTGACACACCGAGAGTAATGGGTAATGTAAAGGTGGGTGTGGTCACAGTAATATAAAGGTGGGCGTGGTCAGAGTTATATACACGTGTTGGCGCGGTGTGGGCGGGGTCTGACCTGCAGGATGATGTACCAGCAGCCTCAGGTGGGGTCCCTCATGGCCCTGGAGCCCACCAGGACCTCGGAGTTGTGGCAGTAGTGCCACTTGTCGTTGACGCATGATGACCCTGCAGAAACACACAGTGAGTCCTGGTTCTATTTGATCTGGATACTGGTACCTGGAGCTCTGAACCAGCTCACCTCCTGATGGCCCTCTGTTCTGTGGGGGTCATCTGACTCGGTCCTCTCAGGGGTTGGAGCTGTGGGGGTGAGGGGGCTCTCTGTCAGCCCCAGGCCCTCGGGTATGTTGCTCCCTCGTAGAATCCAGGCAGCTCGCAGTCTATCCCCTTGCCCCCCTGGGTCCCTGCCCCCCCTTGTCCTCGAGGATCTTCTCCCAATTGAAAAACTGGAAAGAGTGAGTCCGGTGCTGGTGCCCCTGCAGGTCCAGGAGCCCCTGGCTGTGCCAGGCTGTCGGAAGGGGGCTGCTGAGTGTGGAGCTGTCCTGGCTCTCCAGAGAGTGCTCCTTGGGCAGACCCGAGTAGAACTCTGCAGGGGGGTAGTAGGGGCCGTAATCCAGGGAGCCCCCATTACTACCTAACCGCTGGGGCCCAGGGGCTGCTGTGCCCCTGTGGTGCTGCGGATGTGGTGGGGCAGGAAGGATCTGGACTCTATGTTCACGCCCATTGCCTCGCCCCCTGACCTGGTGCTCTGCCCCTCCACCAGAGCAGCAAACGGAGAGAATTTCTGGAACTCTGAGGTCATTATGGCAACAGACCCATCTGCAGGCTTAGCTGCCACAGCAACGCAGGACGGCGGGACAACGGTCAGAGATAAACCTGCTCCAGTCCTGATGGGCAGAACCCGACCAGAACTGTCGATCCACAACACAAAATCTGCAGACAAGGTAACCAACAACTAGTCAACTAACAAGTCAACCAAACAACCAACCAGGCAACAAATCAACAAATCAGTCAACCAACCAACCAACCAAACAGTCAATCGAACAACCAGACAGACAACCAACCAACCAACCAACCAGGCAACAAATCAGTCAACCAAACAGTCAACCGAACAACCAGACAGACAACCAACCAATCAACCAACCAGGCAACAAATCAGTCAACCAAACAGTCAATCGAACAACCAGACAGACAATCACCCAACCAACCAACCAGTCAATCGAACAACCAGACAGACAACCAACCAACCAACCAACCAGGCAACAAATCAGTCAACCAAACAGTCAACCGAACAACCAGACAGACAACCAACCAATCAGCCAACCAACCAGTCAATCGAACACCAGACAGACAACCAATCAATCAACCAACCAAACGGTCAATCGAACAACCAACCAACCAACCAGGCAACAAATCAGTCAACCAAACAGTCAATCGAACAACCAGACAGACAACCAACCAAACAGTCAATCGAACAACCAACCAACAAACCAATCAACCAACCAGGCAACAAATCAACAAATCAGTCAACCAAACAACCAGGCAATCAACCAACCAAACAGTCAATCAAACAACCAGACAGACAACCAACCAAACAGTCAATCAAACAACCAGACAGACAACCAACCAAACAGTCAATCAAACAACCAGACAGACAACCAACCAGTCAATAAATCAACAAATCAGTCAACAAACAATCAATCAACCAAACCAATTTTGTAGTATCAGTGAGTAGTATCAGTGTGTAGTACCTGTGTAGTACCCAGGGGGAAGTACTTCGTCCTGTTTGTAGTTGTGTTCTCCCACCAGCTGTCTCAGAGCCTCGGCCACCAGACCTTTATAACTGAAAGAGAAAAAGACATCAGAACCAGATCAAACCATCAGGACCAGCTCAAACCATCAGGACCAGCTCAAACCATTAGAATCAGATCAAACTATCAGGACCAGCTCAAACCATCAGGACCAGCTCAAACCATCAGGACCAGCTCAAACCATTAGAATCAGATCAAACTATCAGGACCAGCTCAAACCATCAGGACCAGCTCAAACCATCAGGACCAGCTCAAACCATTAGAATCAGATCAAACTATCAGGACCAGCTCAAACCATTAGAATCAGATCAAACTATCAGGACCAGCTCAAACCATTAGAATCAGATCAAACTATCAGGACCAGCTCAAACCATCAGGACCAGCTTAAACCATCAGGACCAGATCAAACCATTAGAATCAGCTCAAACCATCAGGACCAGCTCAAACCATCAGGACCAGCTTAAACCATCAGGACCAGCTCAAACCATTAGAATCAGCTCAAACCATCAGGACCAGCTCAAACCATCAGGACCAGCTCAAACCATCAGGACCAGCTCAAACCATTAGAATCAGATCAAACCATCAGGACCAGCTCAAACCATCAGGACCAGCTCAAACCATCAGGACCAGCTCAAACCACCAGGACCAGCTTAAACCATCAGGACCAGCTCAAACCATTAGAATCAGATCAAATCATCAGGACCAGCTCAAACCATCAGGACCAGCTTAAACCATTAGAATCAGATCAAACCACCAGGACCAGCTCAAACCACCAGGACCAGCTCAAACCACCAGGACCAGCTCAAACCATCAGGACCAGCTTAAACCATTAGAATCAGATCAAACCACCAGGACCATCTCAAACCATCAGGACCAGCTCAAACCATTAGAATCAGCTCAAACCATCAGGACCAGCTTAAACCATTAGAATCAGATTAAACCACCAGGACCAGCTTAAACCATTAGAATCAGATCAAACCACCAGGACCAGCTCAAACCATTAGAATCAGATCAAACCACCAGGACCAGCTCAAACCATCAGGACCAGCTTAAACCATTAGAATCAGATCAAACCACCACGACCAGCTCAAACCATCAGGACCAGCTCAAACCATTAGAATCAGATCAAACCACCACGACCAGCTCAAACCATCAGGACCAGCTCAAACCATTAGAATCAGATCAAACCACCAGGACCAGCTCAAACCATCAGGACCAGCTTAAACCATTAGAATCAGATCAAACCACCAGGACCAGCTCAAACCACCACGACCAGCTCAAACCATCAGGACCAGCTCAAACCATTAGAATCAGATCAAACCACCAGGACCAGCTCAAACCATCAGGACCAGCTCAAACCATTAGAATCAGATCAAACCACCACGACCAGCTCAAACCATCAGGACCAGCTCAAACCATTAGAATCAGATCAAACCACCAGGACCAGCTCAAACCATCAGGACCAGCTCAAACCATTAGAATCAGATCAAACCATCAGGACCAGCTCAAACCATCAGGACCAGCTCAAACCATTAGAATCAGATCAAACCATCAGGACCAGCTCAAACCATCAGGACCAGCTCAAACCATCAGGACCAGCTTAAACCATCAGGACCAGCTCAAACCATCAGGACCAGCTCAAACCATCAGGACCAGCTTAAACCACCAGGACCAGCTCAAACCAGTCTGAACCTGTTCATATTTACCTGTACTTGCGGTTGACCTCGTCAGCAGTCAGGGCGTGGTCAAACATCAGCACCTTGTGTGAGTCCTGCAGTCGGGGTCCACTGTAGTCCCTGAACTCCAGCTCCACAGCAGCATCCAGCAGAGACAGGTATCGCCTCACGATCAGAGCGTACGGACTGTCTGTGAGGGGGCGGGGCCAAGACAAAACAACACACCTGGTACTGTTAGTGATGTATATCCAGTCACTGAACAACTTCTGACATGTGGGGCAACGTCTACAGCCAACTGGGAGTGTTGTCTTACTGGTTGGGTTGCCTCCATTGTTGCCTGCTTTTTTTTTGTGAGTTGCTGGTTGTTTTAACGTGTGAGTTGCTGGTTGTTTTAACATGTGAGTTGCTGGTTGTTTTAACGTGTGAGTTGCTGGTTGTTTTAACATGTGTGTTGCTGGTTGTTTTAACGTGTGTGTTGCTGGTTGTTTTAACGTGTGAGTTGCTGGTTGTTTTAACATGTGAGTTGCTGGTTGTTTTAACATGCGTGTTGCTGGTTGTTTTAACGTGTGAGTTGCTGGTTGTTTTAACATGTGAGTTGCTGGTTGTTTTAACATGTGTGTTGCTGGTTGTTTTAACATGTGTTTCCTGGTTGTTTTAACATGCGTGTTGCTGGTTGTTTTAACGTGTGAGTTGCTGGTTGTTTTAACATGTGTGTTGCTGGTTGTTTTAACATGTGTGTTGCTGGTTGTTTTAACATGTGTGTTGCTGGTTGTTTTAACATGTGAGTTGCTGGTTGTTTTAACATGTGTTTTCCTGGTTGTTTTAATATGTGTGTTGCTGGTTGTTTTAATGTGTGTTGCTGGTTGTTTTAATATGTGTTGCTGGTTGTTTTAACGTGCGAGTTGCTGGTTGTTTTAACGTACGAGTTGCCGGTTGTTTTAACGTGCGTGTTGCCGGTTGTTTTAACGTGTGTGTTGCTGGTTGTTTTAATGTGTGTTGCTGGTTGTTTTAATGTGTGTTGCTGGTTGTTTTAATGTGTGTGTTGCTGGTTGTTTTAACATGTGAGTTGCTGGTTGTTTTAACATGTGAGTTACTGGTTGTTTTAACGTGTGAGTTGCTGGTTGCTAGCTATGTTGCTGGTTGTTTTAACATGTGAGTTGCTGGTTGCTAGCTGTGTTGCTGGTTGTTTTAACGTGTGTGTTGCTGGTTGCTAGTTGTTTTAATGTGTGTTGCTGGTTGTTTTAACATGTGTGTTGCTGGTTGCTAGTTGTTTTAATGTGTGTTGCTGGTTGTTTTAACATGTGTGTTGCTGGTTGTTTTAACATGTGTGTTGCTGGTTGTTTTAACATGTGTGTTGCTGGTTGTTTTAACATGTGAGTTGCTGGTTGTTTTAACATGTGTGTTGCTGGTTGTTTTAACATGTGAGTTGCTGGTTGCTAGTTGTTTTAATGTGTGTTGCTGGTTGTTTTAACATGTGTGTTGCTGGTTGTTTTAACATGTGTGTTGCTGGTTGTTTTAACATGTGAGTTGCTGGTTGTTTTAACATGTGTGTTGCTGGTTGTTTTAACATGTGTGTTGCTGGTTGTTTTAACGTGCGAGTTGCCGGTTGTTTTAACGTGCGTGTTGCCGGTTGTTTTAACGTGTGTGTTGCTGGTTGTTTTAATGTGTGTTGCTGGTTGTTTTAATGTGTGTTGCTGGTTGTTTTAATGTGTGTGTTGCTGGTTGTTTTAACGTGTGAGTTGCTGGTTGTTTTAACATGCGTGTTTGCTGGTTGTTTTAACATGCGAGTTGCTGGTTGCTAGCTGAGTGTTGCTGGTTGTTTTAACATGCGTGTTTGCTGGTTGTTTTAACGTGTGTGTTGCTGGTTGTTTAACATGAGAGTTGCTGGTTGTTTTAACGTGTGTGTTGCTGGTTGTTTTAACATGTGTTGCTGGTTGTTTTAACGTGTGAGTTGCTGGTTGTTTTAACGTGTGTGTTGCTGGTTGTTTTAACGTGTGTGTTGCTGGTTGTTTTAACATGTGTTGCTGGTTGTTTTAAAATGTGTTGCTGGTTGTTTTAACATGTGTTGCTGGTTGTTTTAAAGTGTGTTGTTGGTTGTTTAAACATGTGTTGCTGGTTGTTTTAATGTGTGTTGCTGGTTGTTTTAATATGTGTTGCTGGTTGTTTAAACATGTGTTGCTGGTTGTTTTAACATGTGTTGCTGGTTGTTTTAACATGCGTGTTGCTGGTTGTTTTAACATGTGTTGCTGGTTGTTTTAACATGTGTTGCTGGTTGTTTTAACATGCGTGTTGCTGGTTGTTTTAACATGCGTGTTGCTGGTTGTTTTAACATGCGTGTTGCTGGTTGTTTTAACATGCGTGTTGCTGGCTGTTTTAATGCGTGTTGCTGGTTGTTTTAACGTGTGAGTTGCCGGTTGTTTTAACGTGTGAGTTGCTGGTTGCTAACTATGTTGCTGGTTGTTTTAACATGTGAGTTGCTGGTTGCTAGCTGTGTTGCTGGTTGTTTTAACGTGTGTGTTGCTGGTTGCTGGTTGTTTTAATGTGTGTTGCTGGTTGTTTTAACATATGTGTTGCTGGTTGTTTTAACATATGTGTTGCTGGTTGTTTTAACATGTGTGTTGCTGGTTGCTAGTTGTTTTAATGTGTGTTGCTGGTTGTTTTAACATGTGTGTTGCTGGTTGTTTTAACATGTGTGTTGCTGGTTGTTTTAACATATGTGTTGCTGGTTGTTTTAACATGCGAGTTGCTGGTTGTTTTAACATGTGTGTTGCTAGTTGTTTTAACATGTGTGTTGCTGGTTGTTTTAACATGCGAGTTGCTGGTTGCTAGCTGTGTTGCTGGTTGTTTTAATGTGAGTTGCTGGTTGTTTTAATGTGAGTTGCTGGTTGTTTTAATGTGTGTTGCTGGTTGTTTTAACGTGAGTTGCTGGTTGTTTTAACATGTGTGTTGCTGGTTGCTAGCTGTGTTGCTGGTTGTTTTAATGTGTGTTGCTGATTGTTTTAACGTGAGTTGCTGGTTGTTTTAACGTGTGTTGCTGGTTGTTTTAATGTGAGTTGCTGGTTGTTTTAACGTGAGTTGCTGGTTGTTTTAATGTGTGTTGCTGGTTGTTTTAACGTGAGTTGCTGGTTGTTTTAACATGTGTGTTGCTGGTTGCTAGCTGTGTTGATGGTTGTTTTAATGTGTGTTGCTGATTGTTTTAACGTGAGTTGCTGGTTGTTTTAACGTGTGTTGCTGGTTGTTTTAATGTGAGTTGCTGGTTGTTTTAATGTGTGTTGCTGGTTGTTTTAACATGTGTTGCTGGTTGTTTTAATGTGAGTTGCTGGTTGTTTTAATGTGTGTTGCTGGTTGTTTTAATGTGTGTTGCTGGTTGTTTTAACGTGTGTTGCTGGTTGTTTTAACATGCGAGTTGCTGGTTGCTAGCTGTGTTGCTGGTTGTTTTAATGTGAGTTGCTGGTTGTTTTAATGTGAGTTGCTGGTTGTTTTAATGTGTGTTGCTGGTTGTTTTAATGTGTGTTGCTGGTTGTTTTAACATGTGTTGCTGGTTGTTTTAATGTGAGTTGCTGGTTGTTTTAATGTGTGTTGCTGGTTGTTTTAACATGCGAGTTGCTGGTTGTTTTAACATGTGTGTTGCTAGTTGTTTTAACATGTGTGTTGCTGGTTGTTTTAACATGCGAGTTGCTGGTTGCTAGCTGTGTTGCTGGTTGTTTTAATGTGAGTTGCTGGTTGTTTTAATGTGAGTTGCTGGTTGTTTTAATGTGTGTTGCTGGTTGTTTTAACGTGAGTTGCTGGTTGTTTTAACATGTGTGTTGCTGGTTGCTAGCTGTGTTGCTGGTTGTTTTAATGTGTGTTGCTGGTTGTTTTAATGTGTGTTGCTGGTTGTTTTAACGTGAGTTGCTGGTTGTTTTAATGTGTGTTGCTGGTTGTTTTAATGTGAGTTGCTGGTTGTTTTAATGTGTGTTGCTGGTTGTTTTAACGTGTGTTGCTGGTTGTTTTAACGTGAGTTGCTGGTTGTTTTAACGTGAGTTGCTGGTTGTTTTAATGCGTGTTGCTGATTGTTTTAACGTGAGTTGCTGGTTGTTTTAACGTGTGTTGCTGGTTGTTTTAATGTGAGTTGCTGGTTGTTTTAATGTGTGTTGCTGGTTGTTTTAACATGTGTTGCTGGTTGTTTTAATGTGAGTTGCTGGTTGTTTTAATGTGTGTTGCTGGTTGTTTTAATGTGTGTTGCTGGTTGTTTTAACGTGTGTTGCTGGTTGTTTTAACATGCGAGTTGCTGGTTGCTAGCTGTGTTGCTGGTTGTTTTAATGTGAGTTGCTGGTTGTTTTAATGTGAGTTGCTGGTTGTTTTAATGTGTGTTGCTGGTTGTTTTAATGTGTGTTGCTGGTTGTTTTAACATGTGTTGCTGGTTGTTTTAATGTGAGTTGCTGGTTGTTTTAATGTGTGTTGCTGGTTGTTTTAATGTGTGTTGCTGGTTGTTTTAACGTGAGTTGCTGGTTGTTTTAACGTGTGTTGCTGGTTGTTTTAATGTGAGTTGCTGGTTGTTTTAATGTGTGTTGCTGGTTGTTTTAACATGTGTTGCTGGTTGTTTTAATGTGTGTTGCTGGTTGTTTTAATGTGTGTTGCTGGTTGTTTTAACGTGAGTTGCTGGTTGTTTTAATGTGTGTTGCTGGTTGTTTTAATGTGTGTTGCTGGTTGTTTTAATGTGAGTTGCTGGTTGTTTTAATGTGTGTTGCTGGTTGTTTTAACGTGAGTTGCTGGTTGTTTTAATGCGTGTTGCTGGTTGTTTTAATGTGAGTTGCTGGTTGTTTTAATGTGTGTTGCTGGTTGTTTTAACGTGAGTTGCTGGTTGTTTTAATGCGTGTTGCTGGTTGTTTTAACGTGAGTTGCTGGTTGTTTTAACGTGTGTTGCTGGTTGTTTTAATGTGAGTTGCTGGTTGTTTTAACGTGTGTTGCTGGTTGTTTTAACATGCGAGTTGCTGGTTGCTAGCTGTGTTGCTGGTTGTTTTAATGTGAGTTGCTGGTTGTTTTAATGTGAGTTGCTGGTTGTTTTAATGTGTGTTGCTGGTTGTTTTAATGTGTGTTGCTGGTTGTTTTAACGTGAGTTGCTGGTTGTTTTAACATGCGAGTTGCTGGTTGCTAGCTGTGTTGCTGGTTGTTTTAATGTGAGTTGCTGGTTGTTTTAATGTGAGTTGCTGGTTGTTTTAATGTGTGTTGCTGGTTGTTTTAATGTGAGTTGCTGGTTGTTTTAATGTGTGTTGCTGGTTGTTTTAATGTGTGTTGCTGGTTGTTTTAACGTGTGTTGCTGGTTGTTTTAACGTGAGTTGCTGGTTGTTTTAACATGTGTGTTGCTGGTTGCTAGCTGTGTTGCTGGTTGTTTTAATGTGTGTTGCTGGTTGTTTTAATGTGTGTTGCTGGTTGTTTTAACGTGAGTTGCTGGTTGTTTTAATGTGTGTTGCTGGTTGTTTTAACGTGTGTTGCTGGTTGTTTTAACGTGAGTTGCTGGTTGTTTTAACGTGTGTTGCTGGTTGTTTTAACGTGAGTTGCTGGTTGTTTTAATGTGTGTTGCTGGTTGTTTTAACGTGAGTTGCTGGTTGTTTTAACGTGAGTTGCTGGTTGTTTTAACGTGTGTTGCTGGTTGTTTTAACGTGTGTTGCTGGTTGTTTTAACGTGAGTTGCTGGTTGTTTTAACGTGAGTTGCTGGTTGTTTTAACGTGAGTTGCTGGTTGTTTTAACGTGAGTTGCTGGTTGTTTTAACGTGAGTTGCTGGTTGTTTTAATGTGTTTTGCTGGTTGTTTTAACGTGAGTTGCTGGTTGTTTTAACATGTGTGTTGCTGGTTGCTAGCTGTGTTGCTGGTTGTTTTAATGTGTGTTGCTGGTTGTTTTAACTTGTGTTGCTGGTTGTTTTAACGTGAGTTGCTGGTTGTTTTAACGTGAGTTGCTGGTTGTTTTAACATGTGTGTTGCTGGTTGCTAGCTGTGTTGCTGGTTGTTTTAATGTGAGTTGCTGGTTGTTTTAATGTGAGTTGCTGGTTGTTTTAACATGTGTGTTGCTGGTTGCTAGCTGTGTTGCTGGTTGTTTTAAAGTGTGTTGCTGGTTGTTTTAAAGTGTGTTGCTGGTTGCTTGCTGTCTGTGTGTCGTACTGACTGGTGACGTTGCTGATGAAGGCGGAGGAGAAGACGCGGTGCATCACAGGGCCTGGGAAGTGTCCGAGCTGGAACAGCGACATGAGGATGTTGACAGTGGCGAGCGGCGAGCTGAGCGCCTTCAGTTCAACAACTTCTTCGAGACGAGAGAAGAACTGCTGCTCGCTGGACGGACGGTAACTCATCCTGCTGAACGGGAACACCAGCTTCTGGATCACCTGAGGACACAGAAACACCTGTAGAGGGCGGTACAGAGGGGCTGAAGGTCACATGACCTCGGTTACCCAGCTCACTTTGCTGTCCAGGTACTCGGCCTTCTTCACCAGGAAGTCTGCGATGGTGTCCAGCAGTCGAGTCTCTCTTAGGCGATGGCGAGCAATGTACTTAGCGATCAAAGCCATCGTGTATGGAGTGATGCTGTCCACCTTCTTTGGCAACTCATCTGTTAGGGAGCAACGACAGGTCACTGACTGAGCCGGAAACATGACCGACCGACTGAGTCTGGGTCACGTGACCGACTGAGCCCGGGTCACGTGACCGACTGAGCCCGGGAACGTCACCGAGTGGACTGAGTCCAGGTCACGTGACCGACTGAGCCCGGGAACGTCACCGAGTGGACTGAGTCCAGGTCACGTGACCCGGACTCAGTCGGTCACGTGAGTCCAGGTCACGTGACCCGGATTCACGTGACCGACTGAGTCCAGGTCACGTGACCCGGACTCAGTCGGTCACGTGAGACCGACTGAGTCCGGGTCACGTGACCGACTGAGTCCGGGTCACGTGACCGACTGAGTCCGGGTCACGTGACCTGGTGTCACAGAGCTCACCTGCCAGGCTGCTGATGAACCTCTCCTGTCTGTTCTGGTAGAACAGGTGAGAACTAAAGATCAACTCTAGACTCTTGTTGCTAGCCTCCCGAGCGCACGCCGCCAACATCTCATCCAGCAGCACCATCTCCTGGTCACGAACGCCGCTCACGCTCGCCAGAGTGTGTTTGACCAGACGCAGGATCTTCCTGAAAGACACGGGACAGAAACATGCGTCAGAGTGCTTCAACCCCCCCTCCTCATCAAGTGTTCCTCAAACTCATAGAACTGCAGTTACATCCAGTAACCTGAGACAGCGCTCGCCAGTGTTACATTACTTCTTATGTTACTTTACTCCTTATGTTACTTTATTTATTACTTTGTCAACAGTAACATGTTACATTACTCCTTATGTTACTTTATTTATCACTCCCTGTCAACAGTAACATGTTACATTACTCCTTATGTTACTTTATTTATCACTCCCTGTCAACAGTAACATGTTACATTAATCCTTATGTTACTTTATTTATTACTCTGTCAACAGTAACATGTTACATTACTCCTTATGTTACTTTATTTATTACTCTGTCAACAGTAACATGTTACATTACTCCTGATGTTACTTTATTTATCACTTTGTCAACAGTAACATGTTACATTACTCCTGATGTTACTTTATTTATTACTCTGTCAACAGTAACATGTTACATTAATCCTGATGTTACTTTATTTATCACTCTGTCAACAGTAACATGTTACATTACTCCTGATGTTACTTTATTTATTACTCTGTCAACAGTAACATGTTACATTACTCCTGATGTTACTTTATTTATTACTTTGTCAACAGTAACATGTTACATTACTCCTTATGTTACTTTATTTATCACTCCCTGTCAACAGTAACACATTACATTACTCCTGATGTTACTTTATTTATTACTCTGTCAACAGTAACATGTTACATTACTCCTGATGTTACTTTATTTATCACTCCCTGTCAACAGTAACATGTTACATTACTCCTGATGTTACTTTATTTATCACTCCCTGTCAACAGTAACATGTTACATTACTCCTGATGTTACTTTATTTATTACTTTGTCAACAGTAACATGTTACATTACTCCTTATGTTACTTTATTTATCACTCTGTCAACAGTAACATGTTACATTACTCCTGATGTTACTTTATTTATCACTTTGTCAACAGTAACATGTTACATTACTCCTGATGTTACTTTATTTATTACTCTGTCAACAGTAACATGTTACATTAATCCTGATGTTACTTTATTTATCACTCTGTCAACAGTAACATGTTACATTACTCCTTATGTTACTTTATTTATCACTCCCTGTCAACAGTAACACGTTACATTACTCCTGATGTTACTTTATTTATTACTCTGTCAACAGTAACATGTTACATTACTCCTGATGTTACTTTATTTATCACTCCTGTCAACAGTAACATGTTACATTACTCCTGATGTTACTTTATTTATTACTTTGTCAACAGTAACATGTTACATTACTCCTGATGTTACTTTATTTATTACTCTGTCAACAGTAACATGTTACATTACTCCTGATGTTACTTTATTTATCACTCCCTGTCAACAGTAACATGTTACATTACTCCTGATGTTACTTTATTTATTACTTTGTCAACAGTAACATGTTACATTACTCCTGATGTTACTTTATTACTCTGTCAACAGTAACATGTTACATTACTCCTGATGTTACTTTATTTATTACTCTGTCAACAGTAACATGTTACATTACTCCTGATGTTACTTTATTTATTACTCTGTCAACAGTAACATGTTACATTACTCCTGATGTTACTTTATTTATCACTCTGTCAACAGTAACATGTTACATTACTCCTGATGTTACTTTATTTATTACTCTGTCAACAGTAACATGTTACATTACTCCTGATGTTACTTTATTTATCACTGTCAACAGTAACATGTTACATTACTCCTGATGTTACTTTATTTATCACTCCCTGTCAACAGTAACATGTTACATTACTCCTGATTTTACTTTATTTATTACTCTGTCAACAGTAACATGTTACATTACTCCTGATGTTACTTTATTTATCACTCCCTGTCAACAGTAACATGTTACATTACTCCTGATGTTACTTTATTTATCATCTCTGTCAACAGTAACATGTTACATTACTCCTGATGTTACTTTATTTATCACTCTCTGTCAACAGTAACATGTTACATTACTCCTGATGTTACTTTATTTATCACTCTCTGTCAACAGTAACATGTTACATTACTTCCTTATGTTACTTTATTTATCACTCTCTGTCAACAGTAACATGTTACATTACTCCTGATGTTACTTTATTTATCACTCTCTGTCAACAGTAACATGTTACATTACTCCTGATGTTACTTTATTTATCACTCTCTGTCAACAGTAACATGTTACATTACTCCTGATGTTACTTTATTTATCACTCTCTGTCAACAGTAACATGTTACATTACTCCTGATGTTACTTTATTTATCACTCTCTGTCAACAGTAACATGTTCATTACTCTTATGTTACTTTATTTATCACTCCCTGTCAACAGTAACATGTTACATTACTCCTGATGTTACTTTATTTATCACTCTCTGTCAACAGTAACATGTTACATTACTCCTGATGTCTTTATTTATTACTCTGTCAACAGTAACATGTTACATTAATCCTGATGTTACTTTATTTATCACTCTGTCACAGTAACATGTTACATTACTCCTGATGTTTTTATGTATCACTCTGTCAACAGTAACATGTTACATTACTCCTGATGTTACTTTATTTATTACTTGTCAACAGTAACATGTTACATTACTCCTTATGTTACTTTATTTATCACTCCCTGTCAACAGTACACATTACATTACTCCTGATGTTACTTTATTTATTACTCTGTCAACAGTAACATGTTACATTACTCTGATGTTACTTTATTTAT